CACAGCGGCTCCGAAAAGAAACAAAACAAACATAAAAAATGCTTTCAGCTCAATCCCAAAATCAATTTTACTTCTATTCATTTGAAGAGAAATGTGAGTTTTGAGGGATTTTAATCTGTTTCAGTTTATTTGTAAGGCGAGTGTTCACTGCCTTGTTTCCACAACACTAAACGTTTGGGAGCCGAAGCCGCGGGAAGGAAATGTTCTTTCTTTTTTTTTTTTCCTCTTTACTTGTAAATACAAACTCGGAGCCGAGTGTCGACGCGGCGGGCATTCCTCCACGGCACAAAATATTCCAGTCCCACAATAAACGCTCAGAAATGTTCACCCATCCCGTGTTCCGCCTTTAACACAGCTCTTAATGCTGAACTGTTATGGCACGGTAGTGGCAGAAATCCTGGGAATATGGGATTTCTTGTGTCAGGCTACGTTGGTCCCGTTTCTCCAAAGGACGTCGTTCCAGGAATCCTGCGGCTGATTTGGGACTTGCTTTTCCAAAATAAATTGTTAATTAAATAAAATAAATTGTTATTATGTCCTGATACTAAATGGCTTCATCCATCAGAGTTTCTAAGAAAAAAAAAAAGAAGGTTGAACTGACAATGAAATCAGTGAGTCCCGCATAAGAGGAATTTCTATTCGGCACACAAGCGACTCTACAACGGCAGATCTTCAGCCTGAAAATGTATTCTCCTTGGATCAGGTGATTTGGCCGTTTGATTCTGGTGTTTGGGCCGCCGACACACCCCGTCAAATAAAGCATGACCAGAAAAAAATGCTAAAGAGCTGGGGATCTTAAGCATAATAAGACAACAAATCAAATTAAAGCACGTATGACGTACAGCTGGCTTTGCTTCATCGTGAGCTCTAACTTGCTCATCACCAGGCTGACCTAAACGTCCTGTTAAATACCAGCGCTCCAGTGTCCCTGTCCAAGAGAAACGAGGATGGTATTCACAGCAGAGCCCACGTCTCTTAACTCGACTCAATTAGGCCTTGAATGCAAGCAGGAAATGTCACCGGACACTGCCGGTGGGTAATTACCTTCGTCCCAGTGTGACAAGGGGCCTGTTTGGTGGGAAAGGCTCCGAATCGTTCCATGATGGCGAAAATAAAGTTTCCTCCTCGAAATCTTGAACTTTTGTTTTGTATTCAAAGTCAGGAATAATAGAGGGCATATTATTATCACCATAATTGGGAGAAGTCGCTGTTTCACAGGGATTGGAAGTTAATTAGCAGCAAATTGCTGACATTTTGAACTTGTGCTCGACTCGTTTTAAAGGCCTTTGTTGTTTTTGTGTGGGCGCAGGAGCTCAGCAGGAGATCCTGGCTGGTCTGCTCCATTCAGCCTTCATGCTCCATGAACCTTCTCACGTTCCGTCAAATGTGGCCGAAAACTTCTCTTTTTCAATTTTGTGATTTTGTTTGAATTTGTGGGAAATTGAAGTGAACACAGGCCGGCGGCAAACTCTCGACACTAAATGAACACAGCTGGAGGAACGGCAGCTTGGAGGGGAATCTACAAGGAACGGAACAAACAGCAGTCATCATCATGCGCCCCACAAAGCTGCTGTTGCAAAAAGTCAATTTTCCCGCTGTGTGGGCTGATACTGGAGAGCTTTGTCTGTGTGGACAAAAGTCTTGTGGAATAGAAACACAAACGTTGATTTAGCATTAGCAGAGAGCAAGGGCGAGGATGTGAGCAGCGCCTACATGAACTTGATTGACAGCACTAAAATACTCCCCGTGCTCTAATTGTCTGTTTCTGATTAAGTGTTTTATTTCTTGATTTGGTAAAGATCTTGATTTGTTTTTCACAGATTATCCAACTCATTCATCACAGTGACAGTTCTAACCAATACGTAAAATATACGCATGTATATATATATTTTTGAAAAGCTGCGTATTCCAGCTTTTGTGTTCCATACAACTTGTCAGCAGTGAGATCTCAGAAATGGGGACACAGTTGAACATGTTCTGGCGGTGTGTAGAAATTGCACCTGCTGATTTGAGTTTTCGAGGTTTCCAGCCAAAAGATGCAACCAGAACAGCCCCCAAGTTTGAATTTTGATCCAGAGAGTCAGATTTCTGCTGAGGTCCATACCTGACATCGCTGCCATACATATAAAACGTGTAGTGAGAGTCGGAGGTAAACAATATGCAGTAGTATTTCTGGCAGCTCGTGTTTCATTAAGCAATTGACACGCACACACACACAATGCTGTACAGACTCGAAATGGAAACATGTTATTCTAATGTTCAAAGTTACAGAGTGGGGAAAAATCCTCCACTCTGTTTTTAATGTTTACTTGCAAATTCCACTAAGTGCCTGGAAGGCGTGACGTCATTCCCAGATCCAAAACGAATCAAAGCTGGCATCGTTGTAAATGATAGCTAGCAATGTTAGTTGCTGGCGAACGTCGGAGACTAAATGAGCATTTTGCAGCTCACAGGTTACACAGCTCTGTGTGCCACAGGGAGACACTTTTTTTGTGTGGCAGCCCCATTTGGTATTGAATGTGGGTCTGATCCTGCTCAGGTGTGTTTGCAGTAAGACGTCAGACAGTATTCAGAGTTCGCTGTTGGAAATCCAATGAGAAATGGGAACTTTGACTCAGAAAGTCAGATCGTTTCATGTCTAGCATTGCAGTGGTTTATGTAAAGCCACGGCATTTACAGGTATAGGCTAATAATAATGATCACTTCTGACGACAGGCATCTGTTTAAACTACAGACATGCAGCTCAGTGTCTATCTCCAGTAGTCACTGGGTCAGAAGTGGAGCAGGTCATTGCACAGGTTTCCAGTTCATAACAGAGCAATGCCAACAACTGCATGGCAGCCATTTTGAATTTTTAAACTTATTCATAGAAAACGTAATTTTAAAAAAAAAAATGTTTTTCTTTCACCATGGTCCCAGTTCAAGTCTTTGTCTTCTGGACTTCTCTTCATACTTTTCACATTGCCATTTTAAAGTACACCAAATATAAACTTTGTGTACGCTGCCTCGTTTCTAGACGAAAGTAAATATACTGGCAGCAGACGCGTTTTAAGTTACTTTTTGCTACAGGTTGTGTTGATTTAACACAAAATAAGCAAAACACTGAGGTTTCTGAGTGTAATATGCCAACGTGTTTACAAGGTTAAGGGGTAAGAATGCTGGAATCGGTGTGTGTTTGAAAGATATCTAAGTCAATAATGGCCTGCTGCGATTACAAGTTTTTCTGAACGATACATTGTCTCACAGATCAATAAGCTTTCATTTCTAACAAACATTTAACATCGAAGCCAGAAGACATTTTAAATATTTAAAGAAAACAGAAGCAACATATAAAATTAATTAATATATATATATATATATATATATATATATATATATATATATATATATATATATATATATATATTATATATATATATATATTATATATATATATATATATATATATATATATATATATATATAATATATATATATATATATATAAAATTCCCTTCTCACCCACCGCGGGTGGTTCTTATCCTCTGAGCTTGAGGGTTCTGCGCAGTATCTTGGCTGTGCCAAGGACTGCACATTTCTGGACTGAGATGTCTGATGTTGTTCCTGGGATCTGTTGTAGCCACTGCTCCAGTTTGGGGGTTACTGCCCCGAGGGCCCCGATGACCTCAGGCACCACTGTGGTCTTCACCTTCCAGGCCCTCTCCAGTTCTTCCCTGAGGTCCTGGTATTTCTCCAGTTTCTCGTGCTCCTTTTTCCTGATGTTGCAATCACTTGGTATTGCTACATCTACCACAACGGCTTTCCTCTGATGTTTATATATATATATATATATATATATATATATATATATATATATATATATATATATATATATATATATAATATATATATATATATATATATATATATACAATTTTGTCCACAGACATATATATATATATATGTATATATATATATCTATATATATATATATATATATATATATACAATTTTGTCCACAGACATATATATATATATATATATATATATATATATATATATATATATATATATATATATATATATATATATATATATATATATATATATATATGTCTGTGGACAAAATTGTCCTTCAACAAAAGGGGCTAGTTGAGACCAGCGCACCAGACTGGAGACTTTTATCATTCGGTGTAGAGAGACAAGTAAACCGATGAATTACGCAAACGGATATTATTAAGATCGTTTTTCATTTAGCACGCGATTCATCGATTTGTTGCTTGTTGCGACAGGTCGACTCTAGAATGCAAAGTCATCTGTAGCACCGACGAGGCTGGGACTGGTTTCAGCACCCTGGACAGAGCCAGGAGAAAGAGAAGCGGCTCCTGAAACTCGGACTCGGTTAATCGAGCACAGAATCCTCTCTGAAGAGCTGCACGGTCCCGCAGATGGATTTCCAAGCGGCTCTTCGGTTCATTTGTTTTGTTTTTTGTTTTGATTTTATTTTTTTTTGTACTTCTGTTTCCCGCCCACCCTCTCCACCCCTCCGCTCCGGGAACGTCAGCCGCCGGGGCGGCGGTGATTTAAATACGGTCCGAGAAGAGAAGGTGACTGGATGAGACGCGGCAGCGTCTCTGAGAAGGTTGAGAGTCAGAGGCTGCCACACGGTGGAGCAGAGCTTTACTAAACTTTTCTCCTGCAACATTTTACAACACCTCTCCAAACCCCCCCTCCCCTAAGGTTTCCCCTCCCGTCCCCACGAACCGACCAAAAAACAGAAAAAAAAAAAGTTTTTAAATTTTCCATCTGAACAGCTTATGATCTAAAAATCTGCAGGTTTTTCCAACTTGGTTTTTACTTTTTTCTTCTTTTTTATTATTATTCTTTTGAGTTCATTTCCTTTTTCCACATTGAGAGGGGACAATAATAATAATAATATAAAAAATAAACTAGAAATGCCGTCGCCTCATTAGTCGCCGCGGCCGCCCGGCGTGTTTCCGCCGCAGTGACACGGGCTCGCCATGCTCGCGTCCAACGCGAGCCTGGGCGGCTGCGCGGAGTTCGGCGGCGCCCTGTGCGCCGGAGCCGGCGAAGGGCGCCCGGGGGGCGGCTCGCTCCGGACCACCCTCAGCCCGACGGGGCACCTGGTCGTGGCCGTGTGCCTCGGCTTCATCGGAGCGCTCGGACTCCTCAACAACCTGCTGGTGCTGGTCCTGTTCTGCCGCTACAAGATGCTGCGCTCCCCCATCAACCTGCTGCTGGTCAACATCTCCGTCAGCGACCTGCTGGTGTGCGTGCTCGGGACGCCGTTCAGCTTCGCGGCCAGCACGCAGGGACGCTGGCTCATCGGCGCCGAGGGGTGCGTGTGGTACGGTTTCGCCAACTCCCTCTGCGGTGAGTGAAATGCGCAATATTGGAGGAAAAACACCACCCAAAACAAATCGTAATGTACGGGTTTGTTTGTTTGCAGGCTTCATTTTTAACCGGGTTTATGTCACTTGGATTGAAATTCTCATTTTGTCCGGGAGGACAATTTACCTACAAATGACAGAAACACACATACCAAAACCAGATCGTGTTTGTTTCGTTGTGTTTGTGTGTTTTTTTGTAAATCAGCCTCTCGTGTCGCGTTGTTTCCGTTCTAGATGGGATTTTTTATTTTTTTAGTGTGTTTTGGCCAAAACGTCTTGGCAAAGACTTTAACTGTCAAAACGATCAGAAGAAACACTTTCAGCTCGAGAAACTTCCGGAGGGGAGAAGAGACCAAATTGGATGATTTCAGGGTTTATTACCGAGTTCAGCTCGTACGTGCAGTCGGCGATTTGCTCGCATGCAAATCTGAAAAGATGCATGAATGTATACATTGTATTCATTCATGGTCAGCGCTGATTATCTTCTCTTCATAACAATCATCTGATTATCTTCTCTTAATAACAATCATACCGCATAAGCGGTCTGCAGTTAGAGTCTTCACAGATCATTAGATCATCTGCAGCAGGGAATCCTGCACAAAAGGTCAAACTGGTTCGGTGCAGTTAAAGAGAAACTTCATGATTGCTATTATTATTATTATGAATCATGAACTATTAGGACGTCTCGCCGGTGTGTGAATTGTTGCCAGGTCTGGCTCCGCCCCTGCTGACTAATGCCACTAAACAAAACCAGAAGTTGTCCAAGAGGATTCAATCTGCAAAAGAAATAACTTTACAATTTACGGGACGCTCTCTGAATCCTCACCGTTCTGCTCAGTGATTCGGTTTGTGATGACTCGGGGATCAGGGTGTCAGACTTGCATCTTGAACTATTTGTTGGGCAACTTCATTATTTTGCAACTTAGAAAATCCTGCCGTTTATTTATTCATACATCATTTTAGCCTCTTTTTGTCAGCCTCCTAGAACTTGAACTCTTTGGCAAGAATCTCCAACGTTTCCATGATGAACTTTAGGATTATGGCGCTGCAGTGAAACGCTGAGTTTATGTCAAAGTGTGAAACGGTTCCGGTTCGGAACCCAAAGTGAAATCAATGAATAAATATTTAGGTTCCTCTAATAAAAACGACTCATATTTTCACATTTCGATTCAGTGACAGACTTGATCCCAATCTAATCCAGCATTTTTGATTGGTCCGTTGTTTGTGAAATGTGTGGCTGCAGCCACTGAGATTGTAGAAATCTGTCACCACATGATGTCCAGGCTGTCGCTCGTTTCCAGCCACCTGTTCATTCAGGAACGCCGGGAAAAAAGATTGTTTGGCCGCTTAGGATGATGATGAAACTCGGACTGTGGGCTGTTTATGCGCACGAAAACTATGCCAAGATGGAAAACAGAAAGGTCAAAAAATGGCACTGGGTTGCGTCGTAGATCAGAGATGCTGTCGGAGCTCAGAGGACTCGGTGATCCGGTCCACTTCAGGTGAAAGGGGGTCAAACACCAGGTCTGTGTGCGAGATGCTAAGCTGCATCATAGTGAAACAGATGGATGCTAAAACACAGCCCCAAAAAAAGTTATGACCACCCTGTCAGAAGTTGGGGTTCAAAGGTCACTCCTACAGTTTCTCCCACTGTCCGAGTTTTACCTTTTCTCTTCTTTTGTTTGAGTTAATTATATATGTGCTGCTGCTAATTTTTAAAAAAACATAACTTGCTATTCTTCTTTACTTGCTGCTGTTAAGGTTTTAAGCTCTTCACCTTTCTTGTCTTTTTTTCTTTCTTATGATTTCTTTAAAAGATTTCCACTGAGACAATCTTCGAAGAGCAGGCAGTCTGCGATATTGATTTTTAAGCTCTGTTTTAGCCTCTCTCTCTCTGACATTAGTACATTATACGATTCTCAAACTCTTTTTTCCCCTCTCTTGCTGCTCTGTCAGACTGCTTCTCAGTGGATGTTTGACAGGTTGTACACAAGTCTGGAAGGCTTCAGGATAAAGCAGGGCAAGAAGGAGAAGATTAATTTTGCATTAACTTGATTCCCCTCTGCGTTCGGTTCTGCCTGCTCAACAGTTGTCCAGTTGTGAGGCAGATCAGGTGGAAAGACAGCTGCGCAGGAATCGCTAATAAGCCCTAAAGCAACTTTTATGAGGAAAAAGTTGGATTTTGAGAGCAGCTGAGATAATTTGATCACCAGGAGTTCGAAGCCGAGCGACGCCCTGCGTGTGCTCCTTCTTTTTGTTCTCTAAAAACCAATCTAAAAATGATTGACAAAAGGAATAAAGATTTAGTTAGTCTCAAAGTTGTTCAAAGGAATCTGCAGTCTGAATGAATCAGTCTAGGTTTGATCGGACAGCGTTTTCAGAAAGGAACACACCAATTTGCTTTATTTCCACTTCTGATACCGATATCGATATCCGCCGATTCGAGGTTTAGAATCGGCTGATCCGAATTGACAAACGTTCATTTCTTTGAAACGCAGTCGAAAACTTACTGAATTATGAACATATCTCACACCTCTGAACTAGTGCAGCCCACTTACATACACCAACAGCTTCACAAGCAAACATGTAAAAACAACACAACTTTAATTTGTTCAGTCAGCACAATCAGGAGTAAAAATAGACAATGTCAAGTAATTGAATAAACTGAGACTGACAGACTAAAGGTCAAACGTGTAAAAAGTAAACTGCAATAAAATTTCTTTAAAATGTTTCAGAAATGATATAAGGAGTTCCACATTTAATAATAAATAATAAATCATGATGTCACTCAGAGCACAAAGCATAGAATTAGACAAAATAGATCTGCCGTCATCACTGACGCCAAAATCCAATCTAGAATTTCTTTTCAATATCGGGACCGATACAGATCGTATCGGATTGGTGCCTCTCTAATTTGATGATAAATTACAGTTTAGATTGGTGGGAGAAAAAAATTAAAAAAAATCTTAAATGTAATAGTTTTTTTTTTTACTGTTTTTCTTTGGAGAATCTGAGGTAAGTTTCAATATTCAATTTTTCTCTGGTCTTGTTTTCAGCAGCTGTGCTCACTGTCTTCTGAAATCCTGACGTTCATTGACCAAAAATAAAAACATGTCAGTCTCTTTTCTTTTTTTTTTTTCCTTCTTTACAAGTTTTGAGAAACAGTTTTTGGTCAAATATTCTTGAGTTCTTGAAACCTCAGCCTCTGTTGGTAAAGTGAGATCGGCTGAAGGTCGGTGCTTTTCAAAGCGTCTTATTCTCCCAAAAGTCAAACACTCAAACTAACTAAACACCAGAACTTCTAAATCTTTTCTTATTTCAGATGTTTATTTAGCTAGTGGGAAAGAGATTCATCCTGCAAGAGTGTTGAAACTGTTTGAAATATTTCACGTTGTAACGTTGCAGCCACAAACTTGATCATTTTTGCAAGCATCTTATATCACAAACTAGTGATGAACACAAAGTTAATTTGTCTTGGCCTGCTCAACATTAGCTTAAGCGCACAATAGTTTTTCACCTGTAAATCATAGATTTAAAACATTAAAAGGATCTTGCACATATTTGTGAAGAAAGGCCTAGAACATACATTCTATGTAGCGATGTACCAATCCGTTCTGATATTGATATCTCAAATTAATATTGCAGTTATGGTCGATAACTGATATTTGCCGACATTACGTATATTGCACTACCATTTTGACACCTTTGGAGAAAGACAGACGGCAACAATATAAAAATGAACGTTGGTTGTTCCTATCAGCCCAGTTGTATTTATTAGACCGATGCTTGGGCCGATATGTCGTACATCCCTAATTTCATGGGTCAATTTTGGTCAGTCAATTTGAAAACAGCTGTCTAAGCGAGTGTGTTTCGATTCTTGAAGGTATGTTTGAGGAATCCTGAAGTCTCCCGTTCAAAATGTGTTAAATGTTAGAAACAAAAGTTTCTTGACCTACTTGTACTATTATGCCGTTACCTTTGATATTACTTGAAAATAAGCTTAGAATGACAATACTATTTATCGCGATAACTTCTGGGACGATTTATGGACGAGCAAAAGTAGTCGTGACAGCTGCAGTCGAATGTTGAAGGTGAACTTTTCCCCGACATGAACTCTGATGGAGCGCAGCATCTGGACGTTTGTTCAGCGACGACCTTTTCTTATGATGGTCGACCTTCAACGCTAGATTTGGTTTTTTCTTTCGCTTCATTATTCTGTACCAACATGTATTTGTCTTGCATAGAATTGCAATAAAAGTTTTGATTTGTCAAAATGTAGACATTTTCAGTTTTGTAACAAATTTTAACTTGAGCGTGCATTTCATAGAGGACATGAAAATACTCAAATATTCAGATTTGATTTTTTTTTTATTTCATGGAATTAATTTCTGCCACTTTCACTTTCCCAACAACAAGTTGAGAATTTGAACTTATTTCACATTGACAGAAAACTCAGTTGTTCGATTACTCGTTTGTTAATGAAACGTCGTCTCAGGACACTTTACGGAATAATCGTTTCGACTCAATTGCACCTCAATTCCAGTCGATCCTGGTTATCAAACGGTACATTAACCTCAATTAAATATTCAAAGTAGTTCAAAAAGTTTCCATCTAAGGAAACCCGGCGGGTCAGTTAAAACGCGATCTCTGACTGCATCCACTGTCTGTAACTTAAGGAGGACCAACATCCACAAGGAGCCAATTTCTTGAAATCTGTTCACCGGAACCTTTTACATTTTTAACGAACTGAAACCTTTCCGAAACACAGACGGAACGCCGAGCATGTGAAAGACGGCGGGAGCTGCCAGACATGGTTAGAGCCGACATTGGTTAGGAGTGAGTAATTCCTCAATGGGCTCATAAAACAGGGACAAAGGGGGAAAATGAGGGAGGATCTGAGAAAGGAAAGAAGAAGCTAAATTGATTGTTTGGATGAATGATGCTTGGCAGCGAGCTGTAACAAAGCGACTGTGTCTGAATTCA